ATCGCTTATCGGTTGGCCGCGGGCTCAGGGCTGATAGAGAGAAGTGAAGATACCCGCCTTGGTGATTTGCGAGTCGATGCGAGATCAAGTGGGAGAGAATGAGAAGAGCGCAGAAACAATAATGCAATAGCACCGAGGAGAAATAGACCTACTCCACCATCATCTTTTCCGACTCCTTTCCCCTCTTCTCTCTTCCTTCTTCCCTTCTTGAAGTTGTTCCTCTCTGCAGCCCTATTTCCTTCGGTGATTCCGTAAGGATACACTCGACGCCCACGCGCGCCTGGCATAGCCTCGTGTCTCTTCTCGTTGGCTCGTTGGCTCAAAGCTAAGGAACAGCCTCGCCCACCAACCCACTCCCACCCACGCTCTCTCATATCCCTGATATCCCTCACCACCTCCGCCGCCCACCATTTCTTACGCCCCTCTCCCACCATCCACCCTCGACTTCGATCCATATCACCGACCCCCCCCCCTCCCGTCACCCGGTCGCTCGACCACAAACCATCAACTTCCGAATCGCCACCCCCCCATGCCTCCCTGATGTTCGCGCCGCTGGTGCACCTCTCGCGCCCGCCGCGCGAGCAGCTCCCTCGCGGCGAGTGCCGCTTCATCCTCCCCGACGTCGCCGAAGATGGCACGCGCCAACGTTGCACCTGCGTCGCCTTCAGTCTCTCCGCCGTCGGCGCCCAATGCGGCTGCGGCCACCAGGCCTGGCACCACATCCCTGAGTCCTCGGTGCCCTTGGATGAACACCTCGCCGTGCTGGACCGGCTGAAGCGCGTCGAGGATGCCGTTGGCCGCCTGGAGGACCGGCTCGTGCGCGAGCGCCGCGACCGCGACAAGGCGGTCCGGGATCTGGTCCAGATGCTGAGGGCGAGCTATGGCAATATGGCATGCCTCAAGTACTACGCCGATGAGAAGTTGGAGATGATGAGGGTGAATTACGAGGATAAGCTTGAGGGCGTGCTGGATAAGGCGACTGCTGCGGCGGGCGACCTGGAAGAGCTGCGCCTGCGTGTTGGGGACATCGATGAGTCGGTGATACGGCTCGAGGAGCGTCTCGAGCGCTCCACCTCACCTGAAGCCATGACTGCCGAACCCACGCCCGCGCCTCCGACTCCAGCTCCAGTATCCGCGAAACTTCCCTCCCTACCCGCAACACCCGCCGCACACCGACCTCTCCCGACCCTTCCACCTCTCAGCAGCCTCACGGCATCCGTCCCTCTCCCCATCCGCGATAAACCCACCTGGTCCGTCCGCGTCATCCTCGTCCCCAAAAAGACGCAGCACTTCGCCTTCCCACCCGACTCCACCGCCTTCCTACGCTGCCAATCGCGCGGCCTCCACCAAGACATAACCCTCGATGACCGCAGCGCCACAACCTTCACCCACACCGTCGAAGCCGTCTTCGCGACTATCCTCCGTGGCCGCCCCTGGACACCCCTCCAATGCCTCCGCTCCTCAGACATGGAGCTCGACCAACTCCCGCCAGACCAGCGCCAGCCCGTCCTCTGGGACTACGGCTTCCTCGAATCGCAATGCATGGCCCACGACAAAGCCGTCGGCGACATAATCTACATCGCGCTCGCCTACGAAGAACTCTCCTGGGTCGACGTGCACAACCTCCCCCGTGTCTTCGGCTCCAACGAAAACTGCTGGGAGCACGAGGGGTCGCTCGACGGCGGCGCCTCCATCATGAGCAAGGACTCAGACAGTATGTACGAGTACTCGCCACCACCTTACGAGTCCCGTGCCGCGATCCGGCCGCGCCTCCCCGAATCAAACCTCATGCTCCTGGCCACGGCCTCGAGCTACGCCAACTCCGCCCCGTCCTTGTCAGATCGCTCCGTCCGCACAGCACCTAGTATCTCCGACCGCAGCGTGCTGAGCGACACATTTACCGAGAACAGCCACATCAGCAGCCTATCCCTCGGCGACAACCCGCTCGGGGATGTCCCGATGCGCGAACCGTACGACGAGCATCGCGACAAGCGGACTAAGCGCACTGCTCTCCGACCCCTCCCGCCCGCGACGGGGCTGTACTACTCTGGTCGTGCGAAGCGCAAGATGAGTAATCCCGCCAAGCAGAAGGAGCCGCTGGATTGGCGGGTCAGCGAGCTGAAGATGCCGAATCCCGTACGCGGGTTGTTGCATCGCCGGGAAAGCGGAGGGAAGAATGCGGCAGCGGCTGCGGCAGCGGTGGCGGAGCAGCAGAGGATGGAGGAGGGGCAATAAGGATGATATGAATTGAGCTTCTAGCACACACTCTTTTATGGTTCCGCAAAAGCGCAAGACGGTATATCCGCTATATTTTCCTTTGTTGCGGGGCGTTCAGCAGATTGGTCGTTTTTAGTGGGAAACTCGGCGTTGAATGTAAGCGCGGACGTGCGGCGCGAATGTGCAACGCGAGTTTGCGCGCCGTTGGGGTGGGAGGCGGTGTTCTGTGTACGACTATTGGGGATGGTTTTGGGTACCAGCGTAGACGAATGTAGCCTTTTGGTTGGGCGGTGGGCGGGATAGAAAGGAACGAAATATGCCTACTTGTGTCCTGCGCACTGTGATGTTAAAGTAAGCGAAGCGGGTCTGTCGTACGGGTCCCGCTCCCTTCGGGTCGGCGCGTGCCGGCGAGCTAGGGAGCCGATCAGGTAGTGGGGCGGCGGGGGTGTGCCGGGTAGCCTGTCGAGGAGGGGCTAGATCAGCAGGGCAGAGTGGCATGGTGATGTGTTGAGATCGAGGTCCGGATGCGCCCAGAGCTGTTAGTCAAGTGGTTGGATAAGTGCAGTTGAAGGGTTAGCTTGATGACGTCGCTGGCGTTGTGCTGTGAGTTACGTACTGGGAATTCGTGATGGAGCGGGCTTGGAAGACTGGGCGGCTCTGTCGTACTTGTCTGATGATGTTTCTTTTTTTGTACAATCTTTTAGGACTCCAACTAATGTGTCCGGCAGTTGCTCAGTTGCTCATTTCCTTTTCTGGAAGGTTGGAGCGAGGTCAGCCTACGGAGATGGAGGCAGGCGAACCACGCCGGTAAATGTGATATACTGCCCCTATGATCGTCAACACCTATTTATGAAAGCCATAATGATCTCACCGCAGCTTTGGAGCGTGCCGCCCATGGCTCTAGAGCCCATCCCTTTCGATTTTCTGGCACCGGGAGCGAAATCGTCACCTTCCCAAGTCCTTCTATGAGTCGGTGTGCAAGAAAGGAGTCCGAAGTCAACAGCAAAACAATGATCCAAAATTCAAGGCCTGTGGAAGCAGGGCAGAGCCTCTATTACAACTCTATCAAGAGAGAGAGAGATATCCAGAGCAATCAAGCGTCGCGCCTACTGCTTGGCACCATAGCCGTTGCCATAGCCGTTGCCATAGCCGTTGCCATAGCCGTTACCGTAACCACCGTTCCCATAGCCGTTACCGTAGCCATTGCCATAGCCGTTGCCGTTGCCGTAGCCATTGCCATAGCCATTGCCGTATCCCCCGCGCCCACCATACCCCCCGCCATACCCACCGCCGACACGATACTTCTCGTCGTCAGCAGCCTCAATTCCGGCCGTGTCGGCGGGAGCCTCAGCCGCCTTCTCTTCCTCCTGGCGCTTGCGGAGCTTGAGCTTGTTCGAGCTGGCCTCCGAATCGGCCGCCGCGTCCGCTTGGGTGCTGCTGCTGTCGTACTGGATCGGGTAGTACCCGTACCTGCCTGTGCCGCTGTCGCTCGAGTCGGCGGACGCGCCGGCGGCGACGGAGTTGCCGCCAGTGCCGTAGAGCTGGGCGCAGGGGCCGCACCAGCCGTCCTGGGCCGGGCGGGCGAGAGCAGCGCCGCTGATGGTATTAGCTGGGAGAGGGATGAAGGACTGGAGACATACCTGAGGCCGAGGGCTGCGAGGAGAGTGATCTTGAGCGTGGAAGGCATGGTTGATGCGGTTGTTGCTGCTGCTGGTGCTGCTGGTGTTGCTGGTGTTGCTGGTGTGTTGTGGATGTTGTTGGAAGCTGTTGGTGGGATGGTGTTCAATCTGGAGGGTTGGATGGAGTGATTTATACCTCGCTGGAGTCTGGCGGCTCATCCTCTGTGAAGGACTCTGTGACCATAGTGATCACGGCCTGTTCGTTCTCTCGGCCATCGTGTTGCCTGCTCCCGGCGGCTGGAGGCGGGTGCGTGACGGCCTGGGAGCGTCGGAAGGCTGGGACTTGGCAGCCTTGACGGTTGAAAACTGGGGAATTCTGCTCGAATGACGGACATAGGCCGAGGGAGCCGTGGTGAAGTATGGGTTTCGGCCACCGCGGAATGTCTTCAGGGCACATCCGGCTGGGATCGGGACTTGAGTCCAAACGGAACATCACGGTTTCGTCGTTGGCGTCGAGACTGGTGTCTCAACTTCCTTAACAGCCGATTTGAGTACCCACCAGATCTCTGGCCATTGGGAAGCCAAGTGCGTCAATCCAGTTAGCCTACGAGCAGGTCCAATCTTTTGGAATTCTTGCTGGGATTCCTGGCTCTGCCGTAAGACTTCTCGCCTGCAAGCTACAGTTAGTCGAACTTCAGCAGCCTGGAGTCGCACAACTTCGGCCGCGGGCTCCCGGGACCTCACGCTGAGAGCAATTCCAAACGGCCGGGACGTCCGGAGAGGCCCAGATGCGGGGGAGACGCTCGGCAGCCCCATATATACCCGCATCACCTTCCTACGAAGGAACATGTGCTCCGGAAGCGAACGGTCCAACCCTTCTGGATTCTGCAGCAAAATGGAAGGGCCCCTTTGAGTGGTATGCTTCGAATCTACACTTGGTCTCTTTTGTCTTGTGCCTTGCCAAAGCTGAGGCCTCCATTGACCGCCTCTGCTGTTCCAATTGCACGTTTGTGACCCAGAATTTGTTGAGTGTCCCGGAAGTTGGTCTCTGTTTTGGACGGCAGTGTCTGTGGTCGTGCCGGAAGAGCCGCTTTCCCTTTCCAATCATGACACAACAACCTCACCTCTGTAAGCATCAACCGTAAAAAGGACAAAAAGATCATTTTCCGATACCGGGAATCGAACCCGGGCCTACCCGGCGCCGAAGCTAACTCTGCTGGATGAGAGCGGGTGATCCTAACCACTAGACCATATCGGATATTTGATGGTATTTTGTGCTGCTCCTTTAAAATTAATAAAGAAGGCAATGCTAAAAGGAGCTTTCTGCTCACGCTCAGGCTGGAGAAAGGTGAGGCATGGGGTGACCTCGCTCGGGGATGTGCAATGCCAGTTCGCTGCCACTCAACCCTCTTCAGATGCAATTATCACGAATTGACAAGGAGGGCGAGCATGTCGTTACCTACTGGGTCTCTCAAATAGAGGCTGCTCTGCAGTAGATGCACAGCAGGACGGATCATGGAATGGGCAGAGTGATGAGCATGTACCAACAGCAGCCGATGAGCTTGGGAACGCTCTGCGGGAGGATTCCACACCTCACCGATAGCTGATGCGCAGGCACCTCGATTCAAGAGCCAACATACCTCCCAAGCAGACTGAAACCAAAGGATTCTCTCCGATCAAATTGTTCTGTCACATCGGGACGCTGAGAGTTCACTCATCTAAGCTCAACACATTCAGCTCCACTTTCGAACTCAGCTGCGCTGGTTCGCGGACTCGGCTCCGAAATGGCTGGTTTAGGGCGTCACAAGACATACGGACGAATCGGTGGCGGCGTCCATATCAGATCCAGCTCGCATTGGATTGATCCTTCGGTAGACCTTGTATGTTGACGGTCATGGTTTTATGGACAGTGGTCGCTGGCGGAAATCCGTACGTGAGACTGTATGACGATGTGAAAATGCTGTAAAAAAAGATGAATGTTGTAACCCGACAGGCTTCCCGTGAGTCGTCATGATGAATCCAGCTGGTCGCGTTGCCGGCGCTCCCTCTGACCAACCGCACTCAGAATCGCCTCATACACGATCATGGCCTAAAAGACGGGCGCGGCACCTCCAAAACTCATCGAAAAATAAAAATTGCGGCTTACCCGGATCGAACGGGTGACCTTCAGATGCCTTGACCGAAGTACACTTCAGTCTGACGCTCTCCCAACTGAGCTAAAGCCGCAGATGCTTTGATGGAAGAGTTTGCGGGGGTAAAGTTGAGTGCGGAGGGCCGAGAGCCGAGCTAGCAGCGGCGGCGCGGAACACAACGGGCGGAGTCATGAAGGAGGTGGACACGATGCATACTAACTCCGGGAGTTGCGCAGCGCAATAATTGATGAGAAGAAGGACCATAAGGGATAACAAACCTGAAGTCCGCCAGAGAGAAGGTACACGAAAGACGATGGAGCGGGACCATCAACTGTAGTCAGCTTCCCAGAAAATGACCTCATGTTTTGCGCGTATACCAGCAACTAATATGCAAACCAGTTCCGATGCCGCCATATTCTTTGTTGTCGACACCATGTGAAGCCGACAGTGATGCCGGCCGCTTCTTCCACGACAGACTCGAAGACCATCGTGCCCCGTGCCGGTCTACCCTCAGTAACAACCATCGAGGCAACCGGAGCCCGCCTTTACTCGACCGTAAAACACAATGTCACGACGCTGTTCCCAAAAGAATCAGACTCGTTGTCATGCCCATCCTAATCAAGCCGCTTATCGAACAATACGCCAAAAATGCCCACCAACCACCGTAACCAATGCAGCCCGAACTCCAGTACCGCAGGTCGCTGAATTCCCACCTCTACCGCATCTCCACCCCGTCGGCTCCTCCCGCACTTGAATCAGCTGTTTTCTTGCCGATCCCTAGCTTCGCCAGCCCCGCAGCAATGCCTACACCAACTATCCCCGCGGGTGAACTCTCACGAGGGCCTGGCGCGACGGGTGTCGGCTCGTCCAAAGCCAGCGGATCAAACTCCGCATGCAGTGTCTGGCGCACTACAGCGCGTGGACCGGAGCGCGGAAGCTGACCGCGTGGGAAGGAGGCACGAGTGTCTGAATCTGGGTCGGTAGACGTAAGTCCGGAGGCTGCGAGACCGGAGGAGCGTGGGGATGTCCAGTTGGACACGGTCTCGGACACGACCGGTTCTGCAGAGACCGGCGGTGTCGAAGGAGCGGATGTCCCAACCAGCGGTGGTGTGCCGACCGCATCATCTGGCGGTGCAGGTGTTGGTGCCTTGGAGGGCAGTTCGGAGGGTGGACTAGAGTGCAACCCCCTGTCGGGCAGTTCGGGGAGCGGATCAAAGGACTCCGCTGGTGACGAGTCGGAACCGTCTTTGAGGAGCAATTCGGGATCCGACATATCGGGTACATCCTTCGGCGGTTCCTCAATCGACTGGAGTGCCTCCGCCAGAGCTTCCTTGCCCACAGCGTCCTTAACATCGACGGAATCGGCCATTGAGTCACGGCTGCCGGGTTCGCGCAAAGACTCTCGCGACTTACCCAGCCACTCGCGGCTGCCCTCCACAGCGCCTTCGAGGCTGCTTGCCGTGCTGCTGTCCCGGGTCAACCCGTTCATCTCGCTATCTGTCCGCCCAAAAACATCCGCCCACCAGCGCACGTCGTCTTTGCGCGGCAGCAAGATACGTTCACGGCCGACCACGTGGTCATTGACCACCGGATCGTATTGCTCGTTGACGAACTGTTCGCGTCGCGCGAGGAAGTAGTCCCAGACGGAGCGCGTGCGCTGACGGGCTTTTGCCTCGACGCGCTCGCGCTCGTTGTCCCATAAGAACGTGCCATATTGGCAACTGTAGAGGTGATACAAGAGACGGCGGAGAAACCTCGCATTGAACTCGAAGCGCGTCGGGTGTTGACGCGTAAGCTGCCATGTCGCGTCGAGAAACTGGTGAAACACTGGACTCGTCTCCTTGACTTTGATGTCGTCGTCTTCGACCTCGTCGCGCTTGAAGAAGCTTTTGAGCGCCCGCCCATCGTCGACCTCAAACCACTTCTCGCTCCCGAGGAAGCCTGCACGGTGGCGGAACATGTGTCCAAACGAGACCCAATCCTTCTCAACGAGCACCATGAAACCTTCGAATGTGCGAAAGAACGGATCGAGGCAGAGCTGGGCGAGGGCGCTTAGCTGTGCGGTACGATCCCAACCGTCGGAGCAGTGAATCAGTACATGCGAGTGCTGAATGCCGATGGTGCGGGCAATGAGCGCCGCGCCGTCCAGCATGTTAGCAATGTGCCGTATCCAGCCGCTCTTGGCCAGTTGCTCGCGGCTAGGCGGCAGCGGCGTGAGGTCCGAGTCTTTGAGGGCATCGACCACCTCGAGCAGAGACTTGCGCATCACATGGATATTATCGATACCGAGATACGCCTTGGTCGCGCAGCGGTAGTTTTCCATGTTCTCGGAACCCATCCCGACAGCCTGCATCGCATACGCGTTGACGGTCGGCCGTGCATCGACGATAAGGTTGCTTTGCTGCGCGCCATAAACCCCGTCCCCAGCGGACGACGACGCGCAGATCGCCGCCACCAGCTTCTCGTCCTGCGGGCTGCGGTTTCCGCGCACTCCAACCAGCGGCTGGGAGCTACGAGTGATTGTGCAGTTGTTTACCGGATGGATGTAGGTCAACACGGGTATGCGTGCGCGTGAACGGTACTTGCCGGCATAGTTGAGGACGTTATCGGAAATGGCGGTGGGAACAGCGAGCACTGCTGGGTACGTCGGAGAGTACTACAAATGAGTGGAGTCTTCACACTGGAATGGCGAGCACACCTTGTAGTCGGCGTTGATATCTGTCACGCGCCACGCGCTCCCCTCCTCGCCCACGCCCTGCCGAGCCAGTTCGTGCCGCGCATCGTACAAATCCCAGCCATTTACGGCACGCTCGGGACCGTGTGGGCGGTAGCTAAAGGCATAGAGCTTCTCAAGGCGGCCGACGCGGCTTAGGGCCTTGATGCTGAGGAAGACGTCGTGCGCTTCATCGGTGAGGAAGTGAAAGGCGACAAAGGTAAAGTCACGACACCGCAGTCTGATGGCCGGCGGTGAGGGCCGGTAGGTGCAGAAGGCGATCATGGGATAGGTGATCCATTGTTCGCGGACGGCCTCCCCCACGGGGAAGCGGAAGATGATGTGGTGGGCGGTGAGGTGAAGGGTCCCCTCGACGCGTTGGCCCTGCCGCCAACAGACGACGTCGTCGACCTATAGTTATTGAGTGTGAGTGCAAGTAAGGGGAGCAATAGGGTGAATACCTTAGAGATCTTGATGCGGTCCATGGTGGTGAATGACGAGCGGGTCTAGAGTGTTGCTGTAGGCATGTGCCAAGCCGTTCAAGCCACGCACGGGCCCTTATCGATAAGTCTCGCCAACATATCACTGGCACCCACACATACACCTTCCCCACCACCACCACCAAATTTCATCACCCGACATCACACATCGCGACAATGGCCGCTACTCAAGGTGCCGCAATGTAAGTCTCCGGATTGAACACAAGCCGAGGAAATGACATACTAATGTGATGCAGCTCCAAGCGGAGGAAGTTCGTCGCTGGTACGCATTTTGCAAATCGCGCAATTGAAGCTCATTCTAACTCTCCACAGATGGCGTTTTCTACGCCGAGCTTAACGAGTTCTTCCAGCGCGAGCTGGCCGAGGAGGGCTATTCTGGTGTCGAGGTCCGCGTGACGCCCACGGTGACGGACATCATCATCCGTGCGACGCACACGCAGGAGGTCCTGGGCGAGGGCGGCCGCCGCATCCGCGAGCTCACGTCGCTCATCCAGAAGCGCTTCAAGTTCCCAGAGAACTCCGTCTCCCTCTACGCCGCCAAGGTGCAGAACCGCGGTCTGTCGGCCGTCGCTCAGTGCGAGTCCCTGCGCTACAAGCTCCTCAACGGCCTGGCCGTGCGTCGTGCTTGCTACGGTGTGCTGCGCTTCATCATGGAGAGCGGTGCCAAGGGTTGCGAGGTTGTTGTCAGCGGCAAGCTGCGTGCTGCGCGTGCGAAGAGCATGAAGTTCACGGTACGTCCAATGCCGGCGATTTTCGACCGCGATATACCACATGCAACTGCTGACGACTCTAGGACGGCTTCATGATCCATTCCGGTCAGCCCGCCAAGGACTTCATCGACTCCGCTGTGCGCCACGTTCTCCTGCGCCAGGGTGTGCTCGGTATCAAGGTCAAGATCATGCGCGGCTCCGAT